GCTCTAAGGGGTGGTATGACATGATAGGGCTATGCCTTCTTCTGAGGCATCTGGCATCAGCCACTCACCAGAGGCGTGCAAGATAACAGGCTCAGTGGACCATTGATCTTCTCCACTCCAGCTATTCCCATGCTGCTTTCTAGAAGTTGGGAAATGTTGTTATCCATTACCAAGAAAAAACCCTACACCTTCAATTCAGAGAGGAAAAGATGCATGCAACGAAGGCAGGGCTTGACTTATGGGGGTCACGTGGTCTTGTTGGATAAGCACCCGGCCGGATGGTGAGTTCTTGGAACACCTGACTTGGCAAGTGGCCTTCAGCAAGTCACTTGACCTCAGCCAGTGCCACTGGAAAGTTTAAGTAAAACACAGTTTGGCAGGGAAAATAAAAATGCTACTGATCTTTCCTCCTTCTGTATTTGGGCAAACTGTGGTTTGAAGGTACACGTGCTAAACTGATAGGCAGATCTCAGAAGGTTTGATGGATTTGGATAGGCACCTCTAAACTTTAAATGTAAGAAGCAATTAATAGGCGTGGAAAGCAGGTTCTATGGAAATCACACTTAAAACACGCAGAATTTAACAGAGCATAGGGGTTTTTTTTAAAAAAATCAACCTATAACATTCTATAACAGGGAAATAACCATTAAATTCCATAGGAATATCCAAAAAGTACATAGAAAAGTTATTATTTTTTATTAAATTCTATAGAGAACTATTCCATAAGGGCAAAAGATGGGGGGGGGGGAGTTGGGGGGGGGAAATAGCGTGAGTAAAGCAGAAAACAGAACCAGGACTCTTTTGATTCCATTTCTGGCTTTGTCACCAATTCCTTATATGAACTTGGGCAAGCTACTTACCCTCTCTGTGATTCGAAATTCTCCATCTGTAAAACTGGGACAATACTATTTGCCGTTTAAGGGTGAGGCTGTGAAACTCCAATTCAATAATGTTTGGAGCTCAGCTGTTATGGCAGTGAACGTAAGAATGGCCATACTGGGTCAGACCAAAGGTCCATCTAGCCCAGTATCCTGTCTTCTGACAGTGGCCAATGCCAGCTGCTTCAGAGGTGATCATCAAGTGATCCATCACCTGTCGCCCATTCCCAGCTTCTGGGACACAGAGACTTGGGACACCATCCCTGCCCATCTTGACTAATAGTCATTGATGGACCTATTCTCCATGAATTTATCTAGTTCTTTTTTTAACCCTGTTATAGTCTTGGCCTTCACAACATCCTCTGGCAAGGAGTTCCACAGGTTGACTGTGCGTTGCGTGAAAAAATACTTCCTTTTGTTTGTTTTAAACCTGCTTCCTGATAATTTCATTTGGTGACCCCTAGTTCATTGGGGGTCATACGACTTGGATAGAAGATTGTAAAATGCCTTGGGATCCTGGAAAGTGCTCAAGGAAGGCAAAATATCATTATATTAGGGATCCTCTCCCATTTCTCCCTCCATGTGGACTTGCAGAGCTGAAAATGAAGAACCTATGCCCCTGCCAAATATTCAGTGCTGGTTTTAGGTGAAGGTTTGGATCGCTTTTTATTTGAGCCAAACCCATTTGCCTGACCTTGTTCGGAAACGACCCTCCACACACAGAGTGATTTCTGTGTATGTCACTAAGAGATCTTGTCTTGAATGCTGCTCAGTTTTCATTGCTGCTGGACTTCAAACCAGGTACTATGGTCTGAGCAGGGAATAAGAACCTAGATGGACAGACAGATCTCTCAAGGCTTTTTCAGTGTCATCAGGATCAATGTCCATATGGCACTTGTTTGGCCCATCAAACTTGAAAGTGTCTCTCTTTTCAGAAGTCTCTTGTGACCCTTTAAACAGTTAACAATGCTCCATATCTTCCCTTCGGCAGAACTAATTCCCAGACGTTGAAGCATTTTCATTGCAAAACACAGCTTGGACTTCTGGACTCAGTTATTTGTTTGGAAGATGGAGACACAAATGGAAGTGTAGCAAACTCATACCAGATTGGATCCACTTCTGAAGCTGCCAAACAGCTGCCAACTCTGTTGGGTTTGGGGATCTAGCCAGGCTGCTCTCTAGGGGACAGGGCTTAGGGGGAACCTGGCCTCTGGTGGCAAGCTCAATAGCAGTCCTGGCATAAAAAAATATGCCAGCCACTGCATTTTCCCACCCGCAAGTATAGACACAGGGCCCACCACCTTCCTAGGCTGAAATGCTGGTGACCTGCCGTAGGACCACAACAAAAGCAGCACTAACAATTAGCACTTGTTGTAGCATTGTGCAGACGACAGATTTTTTTTTGCCAGCCGAAGAGATCGAGACGGTAGGAGTGATCAGACCAGTGGAGTAGGCTCCTAGGGCAGACTGTGGAAGCACTCTCACTGCAGTGAGCGAGGGCCAGGTGGCATTTCTTGTCGAGCACTGTCCGGGTGCCTAAGCTATAAGAAGCAGAGAAGCCACAAGGAGCTACATTAGACTAATTACTACATTCATGTTAAATGGGAGGAGAGTGGGCAGAGGAGGGGAGGGGAGAGAATGTAGCTGGGGTGGCTTGGACGGGGAGAGGAATTGACTTGCACAGCTCTTGAGACACTCCTGAAGGCTCGGAGAACACTGAACACAGAGCCCCCAGCACCCTACGAACCAGCTACCCCTAAGTTGCTGATTGTTCACGGTTAATCTTGCAAACTGTCGCCCAGCCAGGGGCGATAGAGAGGGAAGGACTCGGCTTTTGTCTCTGTAAGTGGCAAGGAGATATGATTCCCAGCCTGTGCTTATGCTCAGTTTCAGGTTTCCATTGACCAGCATCTGATCTGTCCCATTTTCCATAGGCGAATTAGCCAACCAGCAGACAAACAAAAGAGGCAAGTCAGCTACGTCAGCTAACGTGCTGAAAGGGGTGAAGAGGGGAGGGCCGACTAGTAAGCGATCTCTTCTTGGCTTGCTTATCTCTGTTCCGAGTATGCGTGGGAACCAGTGAATGAACACAGCAGTGTCAGAGCTTGCAAAGCTGGAAATTTTTCACAACAGATTCTATTTTCTAAAACCGTTTACAATGACACCTGCATGGTTTCATTTCATTCTGCCTGGGCTGGCGTCTATTGTACCAGACTTGCCTTCAGCCCAAATACATAGTGCTTGCCTTGCCTTTCTTTCAAGGGAGAGAGGTGAAACAAACAAGCAGGTCTACTTGTAATTAGTAGTCGTTGTTACAGAAGGGCCTCTAGCAACATCCTTGTCCTGAGCAACCCAAAGCTTTGGGGAAGCCTGGATCAGCCTCAGGCTTATTTCTAATGATTATTATTTTGGACAAGTGGTGGCATAAAGGGCCCATTTATCCCCCCAAAAAGATAAATGTAGCCAAATATACCTTTAATTATTATTATACCCCTATCCTACAATCATCCTCTGCGCAGAACTCCAACTGAAGTCAATTGCTTGTGGAACGATTGCAAGACTGGTGCTTGAATGAAAGCACCTGCCAGGCAGTGCCCAGATACAACAGTGATATGCACCCTAGAAACACCAGAGCGTGAAGACATTTGCTTATTCTCAGCAGATGGCCACATGACACCAAATCACCACTGGTATAATGTCACCAAAGACAATGGAGTTCCACCAAAGATGAATATGGCTCACCAGGAACAAGTAACCTGCTGTGACAGCTAGAACTTATCCAGCTTGTATACTGATCGAGCCTAGAGCACATCTCAACTTTAGCAAGGCTTTTGATACTGTCTCACATACCATTCTCATAAGCAAACTAAAGAAATATAGCCTAGATTAACCTATTATAAGGTGGGTGCACAACTGATTGGAAAAGCATAGTCAGAGAGTACTGAAAGTATCGTATGGGGCCCCTAAGGGATCTGTCCTGGGTCCAGTTCTATTCAATATCTTCATAAATGATTTGGATAATGGCATAGAGAACACAGTTTCAAAGTTTGTGGACGATACCACCCTGGGAAGGGTTGCAAGCACTTTGGACGACAGGATTAGAATTCAAGATGATCCTGACATACTGGAGAAATGACATGAAATAAATAAGATCAATTCAATAAGGACCAATGCCAAGTACTACACTTCAGAACGAATAATCAGTTGCACAAATACAAAATGGGAAATGACTGCCTAGGAAGGAGTACTGGAGAAAAGGATCTAGAAGTTAGAGAGGATCACAAACCAAAGATGAGTAAAAAGAAAAGGAGGACTTGTGGCACCTTAGAAACCAACAAATTTATTTGAGCATAAGCTTTCATGAGAGCTCACAAAAGCTTCTGCTCAAATAAATTTGTTAGTCTCTAAGGTGCCACAAGTCCTCCTTTTCTTTTTGCAGATACAGACTAACACGGCTGCTACTCTAAAGATGAGTAAACAATTTAATCCTGTTGCACAAAAAAAAAGCAAACATCATTCAGGGATATATTAGTAGTAGCATTGCAAGCGGGACATGAGAAGTAATTCTTCTACACAGCATGGATAATACTAGAGTACTGTATTCAGTTCTGGGCACCAGGCTTTAGGGAAGGGTGTGGACAAGTTGGAGAAAGTTCAGAGGAGAGCAACAAAAATGATTAAAAGTCTAGAAAACATGACCTACGAGGAAAGGTTGAAAACTGGTTTTGTTTACTCTGAAGAAGAGAGTATTGAGGGGGGACATGATAATGGTCTGCAAGTACATAAAAGGTTGTTATAAAAAGGAGGGTGATAAATTGTTCTCTTTATCCACAGAGAACAGGACAAGAAATAATGGGCTTAAATTGCAGGAAATGAGATTTAGGTTAGACATTAGGGAAAACGTCCTAACTGTAAGGGTAGATAAGCACTGGAGTAAATTACTTGGTGAGGTTGTGGAATCTCCATCACTGGAGGTTTTTAAGAACACATTAAACAAACACCTGTCAGGGCTGGTCTAGATAATACTTAGTCCTGCCTCTGTGCAGGGGGCTGGCCTAGATGACCTATCAAGGTCTGTTCCAGTCTTGTGTTTCTAGGCCCTGGTCTACACTAGGACTTTAGGTCGAATTTAGCAGCGTTAAATCGATTTAAACCTGCACCCGTCCACACAATGAAGCCCTTTATTTCGACTTAAAGGGCTCTTAAAATTGATTTCCTTACTCCACCCCTGACAAGTGGATTAGCGCTTAAATCGACGTTGCCGGCTCGAATTTGGGGTACTGTGGACACAATTTGATGGTATTGGCCTCCGGGAGCTATCCCAGAGTGCTCCATTCTGACCGCTCTGGACAGCACTCTCAACTCAGATGCACTGGCCAGGTAGACAGGAAAAGAACCGCGAACTTTTGAATCTCATTTCCTGTTTGGCCAGCGTGGCAAGCTGCAGGTGACCATGCAGAGCTCATCAGCACAGGTGACCATGATGGAGTCCCAGAATCGCAAAAGAGCTCCAGCATGGACCGAACGGGAGGTACGGGATCTGATCGCTGTTTGGGGAGAGGAATCCGTGCTATCAGAACTCCGTTCCAGTTTTCGAAATGCCAAAACCTTTGTGAAAATCTCCCAGGGCATGAAGGACAGAGGCCATAACAGGGACCCGAAGCAGTGCCGCGTGAAACTGAAGGAGCTGAGGCAAGCCTACCAGAAAACCAGAGAGGCGAACAGCCGCTCTGGGTCAGAGCCCCAAACATGCCGCTTCTATGATGAGCTGCATGCCATTTTAGGGGGTTCAGCCACCACTGCCCCAGCCGTGTTGTTTGACTCCTTCAATGGAGATGGAGGCAATACGGAAGCAGGTTTTGGGGATGAAGAAGATGATGATGATGAGGAGGTTGTAGATAGCTCACAGCAAGCAAGCGGAGAAACCGGTTTTCCCGACAGCCAGGAACTGTTTCTCACCCTAGACCTGGAGCCAGTACCCCCCGAACCCACCCAAGGCTGCCTCCTGGACCCAGTAGGCGGAGAAGGGACCTCTGGTGAGTGTACCTTTTAAAATGCTATACATGGTTTAAAAGCAAGCATGTGAAAGGATTACTTTGCCCTGGCATTTGCGGTTCTCCTAGATGTAGTCCTAAAGCCTTTGCAAAAGGTTTCTGGGGAGGGCAGCCTTATTTCGTCCTTCATGGTAGGACACTTTACCACTCCAGGCCAGTAACACGTACTCGGGAATCACTGTAGAACAAAGCATTGCAGTGTATGTTTGCTGGCATTCAACCAAAATCCGTTCTTTATCTCTCTGTGTTATCCTCAGGAGAGTGAGATATAATTCATGGTCACCTGGTTGAAATAGAGTGCTTTTCTTCAGGGGACACTCAGAGGAGCCCATTCCTGCTGGGCTGTTTGCCTGTGGCTAAACAGAAATGTTCCCCGCTGTTAGCCACAGGGAGGGGAGAAGGTTGAGGGGGTAGTCACGCGGTGGGAGGAGGCAAAATGCGACCTTGTAACGAAAGCACATGTGCTATGTATGTAATGTTAACAGCAAGGTTTACCCTGAAAGAGTGTAGCCACTGTTTTATAAAATGTGTCTTTTTAAATACCGCTGTCCCTTTTTTTTTCTCCACCAGCTGCATGTGTTTCAATGATCACAGGATCTTCTCCTTCCCAGAGGCTAGTGAAGCTTAGAAAGAAAAAAAAACGCACTCGCGATGAAATGTTCTCCGAGCTCATGCTGTCCTCCCACACTGACAGAGCACAGACAAATGCGTGGAGGCAAATAATGTCAGAGTGCAGGAAAGCACAAAATGACCGGGAGGAGAGGTGGAGGGCTGAAGAGAGTAAGTGGCGGGCTGAAGACAGGGCTGAAGCTCAAATGTGGCGGCAGCGTGATGAGAGGAGGCAGGATTCAATGCTGAGGCTGCTGCAGGACCAAACCAGTATGCTCCAGTGTATGGTTGAGCTGCAGCAAAGGCAGCTCGAGCACAGACTGCCACTGCTGCCCCTCTGTAACCAACCGCCCTCCTCCCCAAGTTCCATAGTCTCCACACCCAGACGCCCAAGAACGCGGTGGGGGGGCCTCCGGCCAACCAGCCACTCCACCACAGAGGATTGCCCAAAAAAAAGAAGGCTGGCATTCAATAAATTTTAAAGTTGTAAACTTTTAAAGTGCTGTGCTTAAAGTGCTGTGTGGCATTTTCCTTCCCTCCTCCACCACCCCTCCTGGGATACCTTGGTAGTCATCTCCCTATTTGTGTGATGAATGAATAACGAATGCATGACTGTGAAGCAGCAATGACTTTATTGCCTCTGCAAGCAATGATTAAAGGGAGGAGGGGAGGGGGGTTAGCTTACAGGGAAGTAGAGTGAACCAACGGGCGGGGGGGTTTCATCAAGGAGAAACAAACAGAACTTTCACACCGTAGCCTGGCCAGTCATGAAACTGGTTTTCAAAGCTTCTCTGATGCGTACCGCGCCCTCCTGTGCTCTTCTAACCGCCCTGGTGTCTGGCTGCACGTAACCAGCAGCTAGGCGTTTTGCCTCAACCTCCCACCCCGCCATAAACGTCTCCCCCTTACTCTCACAGATATTGTGGAGCACACAGCAAGCAGTAATAACAGTGGGAATATTGGTTTCGCTGAGGTCTAAGCGAGTCAGTAAACTGCGCCAGCGCGCCTTTAAACGTCCAAATGCACATTCTACCACCATTCTGCACTTGCTCAGCCTGTAGTTGAACAGCTCCTGACTACTGTCCAGGCTGCCTGTGTACGGCTTCATGAGCCATGGCATTAAGGGGTAGGCTGGGTCCCCAAGGATAACTATAGGCATTTCAACATCCTCAACAGTTATTTTCTGGTCTGGGAATAAAGTCCCTTCCTGCAGCTTTTGAAACAGACCAGAGTTCCTGAAGATGCGAGCATCATGCACCTTTCCCGGCCATCCCACGTTGATGTTGGTGAAACGTCCCTTGTGATCCACCAGAGCTTGCAGCACTATCGAAAAGTACCCCTTGCGGTTTATGTACTCGGCGGCTTGGTGCTCCGGTGCCAAGATAGGGATATGGGTTCCGTCTATAGCCCCACCACAGTTAGGGAATCCCATTGCAGCAAAGCCATCCACTATGACCTGCACATTTCCCAGGGTCACTACCCTTGATATCAGCAGATCTTTGATTGCGTGGGCTACTTGCATCACAGCAGCCCCCATAGTAGATTTGCCCACTCCAAATTGATTCCCAACTGACCGGTAGCTGTCTGGCGTTGCAAGCTTCCACAGGGCTATCGCCACTCGCTTCTCAACTGTGAGGGCTGCTCTCATCTTGGTATTCATGCGCTTCAGGGCAGGGGAAAGCAAGTCACAAAGTTCCATGAAAGTGCCCCTATGCATGCGAAAGTTTCGCAGCCACTGGGAATCGTCCCAGACCTGCAACACTATGCGGTCCCACCAGTCTGTGCTTGTTTCCCGAGCCCAGAATCGGCGTTCCACAGCATGAACCTGCCCCATTAGCACCATGATGCATGCATTGGCAGGGCCCATGCTTTCAGAGAAATCTGTGTCCATGTCCTGATGACTCACGGGACCGCGCTGACGTCGCCTCCTCGCCGGGTATCGCGTTGCCATGTTCTGGTGCTGCATATACTGCTGGATAATGCGTGTGGTGGTTAATGTGCTCCTAATTGCCAAAGTGAGCTGAGCGGGCTCCATGCTTGCCGTGGTATGGCGTCTGCACAGGTAACTCAGGAAAAAAGGCGCGAAATGATTGTCTGCCCTTGCTTTCACGGGGGGAGGGAGGGAACGGGGGGCTGACGATATGTACCCAGAACCACCTGCGACAATGTTTTAGCCCCATCAGGCATTGGGATCTCAACCCAGAATTCCAATGGGCAGAGGAGACTGCGGGAACTGTGGGATAGCTACCCACAGTGCAACGCTCCGGAAGTCGACGCTTGCCTCGGTACTGTGGAAGCACTCTGCCGAGTTAATGCACTTAATGCACTTAGAGCATTTTCTGTGGGGACACACACACTCGAATATATAAAACCGATTTCTAAAAAACCGACTTCTATAAATTCGACCTAATTTCGTAGTGTAGACATACCCTAGGATTCTCTGATCTTGCTTGGTTGGTGCTCGCTCAGTGAAGGTCCCTCAGCTGTGGAACTTGTTTCTGCCAGAGATCTGGCTGAGCACCAAGTCTTGCAACCATCTAAACATGATGTAAGACCCGTTTCTTCAGGCAGAGTCACCTTAACGACCAGGAAGGATTGCCCTGCGGCTGCTCGAAGCTAGATCATCGAGGTCAAGGCTCTTAGTGTGTATATTCCTTCAGTGTCAGAGCGGTTTATAAAGAATGACCAGATGCTATAGCGATGGGTGCTTTGGAGAGGGACGTACTAATAATAATCATAGGAATAAGAAACAGAGACCACCTGCTAGGCCACAACCAGTCTGTTCCCAGAGGCCAACGGCGGACAGTTGCATATGGTAGCTGCTCTTGCGCTTTGTCCAATGCACTTTGAAAATGCAGAAGTGAAGGCGTTTCCACCACTTCCTATGGGAGACTCTTTCCACAGCTGAATAAATCTCAGCATAAGGAAGATTTTCCTAATGGTCAACTGAAACTTCCCAATGCTCCACATTCTACCCCTTGCATCACCCTACACAATTCTTCTCCCTCCTTTGGGTTCACACTCTCCAAACTTTTGTGGGTGGTGTCTCGTCCCCTGTGGATATCATTTAGCCACCCTGGGGTCTACGCTGTCTTAGAGCTGCTAATCACAAACTGGGGGAACTGGTACTGGCCCAAGGACTTTCAGCTAATCTACTGGGTAGGCCTCTTGCCCTGCCCCACCACCTCCACCTGAGCAGCCCATACAAGACTTACTGGCCCCAGCAGAAGTGTGAGGCTTCCACCCCTTTGCCTTCTTCTGAACTTAGTTGTGAATGGCAGACAGGTGGCATACTAGGCCATCGTGGGGCAGCAGCAGTTGAGGCTCCTACCACCACCGCTTGTGTAAGAAAGCAACACAACATGGCCTTTAGGGGGGCGCTGAGTGGGAAGAAACTATTGCTGGAAGCTGCTTCTCCATTCAAAATTAGTTTGCAATGAAAATTCTTCTCTCAAAAACAAACAGTCCCCCCACAAATCTCCTCACAAACAAATCAAGAAATCAGTAGGGTGTCTGGTAACTGTTTGTTCCTCAGCGGAAGGGCCTGTTTTCATGCCCAGTGACAGTTCATGTCCCAGACTCACGTTGCCTCAAAGGCTGAAATACTGGTTCCTTATACTGAAGATCAAGTCTCTCGGACTCTGGTAATATTTTCCGGCCTTTCTAAGATGCCTGCCTGAATGAATAAGGAAATATGACGACAGACTGGCTCCATGTGCTGGGCAATTGGTTACCACTTACATCACTGAGACAACCCAGACAGAGCGAGGAGAAAACCAAGCAGGGATTAAATCATCCCAGATTGCAGTTGTAAACAAAGGTGGAAGGGATCAGGTAACAGTTTCCCAAGGAGGAAAGAAACAGGCAGACTGTTAAAATAACAAACACTGGAGCTTTCCTTAAACCATTGCTGCTGATTTCTTTCCCCCTTCCTCCCATACTTGATAACTGCAGTGTGATCAGATTAAATACGCTGAGGAGGACCGGGCTTTCTCTCTTTGGACGGTGCCTGTCACCTAGAATGCCGTGCTCCAAGGATGACAGAAGTCTAGCCCCCAACCATGTTTTGCTGCCTCCCGGGCTCCATTCCAAGCCCGTCTGGATCCCAGCAAGAACCTCTTTTTCACAACACTTCATTTTCTGCATTGTTCAGTTCTGTTACTTCCTAGTTCTCTGGTTCTTTTCTTTTTAAAGTTCTCCCACCTTCCAATAGTATATCCTCCTCACCACTTCTCCTCTTAGGCCTAGTCTACACGAAACATTTAGATTGATCTAGCTGTGTCACTCAGGGGTGTGAAAAATGCACAGCCCAGAGCGCCAAAGTTCAGCAGACCTAGACCCGGGTGTAGACGCGGCTAAGCTGATACAAGAAGTCCCTTCCTTTGATGGAGGAAGCTTCTAACATTACAGGGGCTGTGCTTCTGTAGTGCTCATAATGTAGACATAGCCCGGAGGCTGGCTAGCAGCTCTCTGTGCAAACATTCTTTCTGGCAACCGACCTTAGAGGGGAGAGAGGCTCTTGAAAGCAGCATGTTCCATCCTAGAAGGTCTTAATCCTTCCAGATGCTTTGTCACAAACTGTGTTTTTATGCTGCTGCGCTTTTGAAGGCAGCCAGAACGTTAGGAGAGGTCAGAGCTCGGAGCTCAGAAGGAAAACTCTGAAGGGCGGTTGCCTTTGTCACTGGGGCTTTAAACCGGCTCTCCAGTTTAAGTAAATGGATTAAGAAATGGGTTAAAGAACAGGGTGCTTAACTCTGCGGCTTAATTCTATAGCCTGGAGCAACACCACTTTGTGCTGTAAACCTGTCAGATCCCACAGGCTCCATGCACGAGCAGGGGTTGGACTCGATGACCTCCTGAGGTCCCTTCCAACCCTGAGATTCTCTGATTCTATGTCAGGACTTGAGCCTTTTAAAGAAAACCAAAGTAGTGGGTGGTGGTCTTCCTTCTAATTTGGTTCTAATTCAGTGCTCCAGTGAGGTGGTCGGGCCTGACTTTCAGAGAAGTCATAAAAAGCACGATGAGCTTGACCACCTTCGGTTTTCATTAAAACTCCTGGGTCACTTTTTTGCACAAATAAGGTGTTATATTGTGTCCACCTAGGGTAATCATATTCTGATTATCTAAATCTCTTCAGTAGTCTCAGCTGCATTTAGAGTGCCTGCCTGCATCCTGTCCCGAACTGTTGTTTATTATTGCAGGATGTCTATAAAACAGCTGCTTTTTTTCCATGTAAGAGGTGGCTGCATTTCAGTGGTGGGCAAAGTGATCTTTGTGAATGGCAGAAGTGTGAGAGCTATTTCGGTATTCTTCAGGATGAATAGTGAATAATAATAATAGTTTCCCCCATGGAAGTATCGCAAAGAATTGTGCAGACATTCCCAAATTATGCTTCACAAGCTCCAGGGATAAATATGATTATAACACCCATTTCACAGATGGGAAACTGAGCCACAGTGAGAAAACAGGTAACATGCTCAAGGTAACAGAGGGAGTGCACTTACTGTTTATTTATAGGCTTTTCTATGATTCTCAGCATTGCCTCACAAATATTAACCG